GGACACGACTAGAAATCAGTGGTTAAGTTGTATTTACAACACTGTTCCAGAACAGTTCAACCCAAATATTCAGATGTGAGCTACGCATTTTACGTAGGACGAGGACTGTTTCCTGGGAGAGTAGCCTACAATGCCGGTGTTCTGGTGAATTCAGTTCCCGTTTCCCCTTCGGCGCGCATGCTGACCCTATACAGTTTATGATGCTGACAAATAATGCTGACTCAAGCCTGTAAGTACGTTTTCATATTTAAAGGATTTGCCACTACTCAAACGCAAGTTTTGAGCAGTGTAGGGGTGGGAGAAAGTTCGGAAAGGTTGAAGCTAATTACAAGGACATTCGCGGGCTTCACTGCACAGGATGCGCGCTTTGTTTGATGTTACAGTTGAAGTGTGCAGTCTCGCTCGTCGATATTTTCCTTACAAATGCTCTACGAAGTCATCATTTATGTGCTTTGGAATGCAGTGGACTTATATATTTAAAATATGAACCTCTCTAACAGAAGGCTGCTTTCAATTTCAAATGACGCGCGCTTTGTTTGTGAAGACTGCTCGCGCATGCGGCTGTGCGCGACTCCGTGTAAGTGGTTTAATGCATTTGCGTCTCAAAATGGTTTTATGACGCAAAATTTATGTAAACGCAGCCAGTTATGTCTTAAGGGATTAAACAGACAGGACAAACCACATTACATTACGCAGATCCGTGCGTGAATGCAGTTTAATAGATCTCCCGCTGTCTGTCATAGTAAAAAACAACAGTAAAGATGAAGAAAAATCATTCACAGTTCTTGAATGGAAAACGTTCAGATAATCTTAAATACTGAAAGCACTCTTTGTTTGTTGTTTGTAATGTGTTCCTATGCTCCTCTTTATTATTTGCTACTTGCTTGTATGTTTTGAAGTTATATTAGTTTAAAATTCCTAACATACAACTGTTTTAATTACATTTTTTTTCAATTTGTAATTATTTTAAAAAGTACTTAATTACTTATGTAAGGATATGTAAATGTAAGGATTTTAAGATTCTCAAGTCGGTAAACTAATTAATTAATAAGGGGGGGAAGTAGATCAAGAATCGTTCTGGAATCGGATTGTGACTCCCAGAATCGGAATCGAATCGGACGGGGCATAGAGGAGAAACAATAATGTACAATATGTGGAAAATAATGTGTTTTTTTAACCTTAAACTGCATAAACACATTGCATTACACCAAATACACAAAATAATGTTCTTTTTTAGCAACGTCATATGACCTCTTTAAATGAGTTTGCTTGAAACAAGAACAAATATCTGCCAGTGGGCTATGAAAATGTGTTTTCCCTTTGAATTAAGTTTTTTTTTTTTTCTTGGCCCATTGGCAGATATCTGTTCTTGTTTTTATCAAAAACTCATTTAATTTTGATCAGTTTCTCAGAAACCAACACTTCTTGTTTTATGTCATTTTGCTTCTCGAGTAAATGTATCTTGATTTAAGAATCTTTAGACATTTGGACTGGAAAATAAGACAACAATACTGAGGAAGAGCATCACTTTTTGCAGTGTGTGGTCAGAAGCTACAGTAATTTCCATATTTGTGTGGTTGGATGCAGAGCTATTCAAGCAATAAGCTGTTCATATGGTCA